AAAAAAAAAAACGATCAATGAGGCATCCTCCAAACATTTGCTCACGGGCGGTATACTCTGTCTAACTCATGCAATCGCAAAGTAACAAAAAGGATATAAAAATATTTTATCGAACAAAGCGTAGTCATCAATGCTAATTTTATTCGGTACGTGACAAACTACTAGTAACGTCTGAGTAGGTCAGTCATAGGCTTATTCATGGGCGGAGTAGGTGCAGTTGACAGTTTGTTCCCTTTCTTCTAAGAACCTCTAGGTGAAAACACCAAAATTAGAAGTTCACAATTGAACAAAAACATTTCCAAGAAAGTATTTCGCCCTCGGACTTTTTTGTATTTGGCAAATCAATAATTTTGTTTTGTAAGTTCCAAGTGGTTTTGCTCAGTTTTTTACTTGCCTTAATTGGGACACTCCTACTTGAGCTACTATCCTGCATAGACCCATCAGAAACTGAAAAGTTCGGGAGAAAGAGTCTCGCTATTCTTAATAATATAATCGAGGATTCGATCTTAACAAGCTACAGATGGAGTACATGGGAAACAAAGAGGTGATGTTCTTCGACCCTAGCACGGGAAAACTACACACTTCTAAACTAACTGCTTCCGCCGACCCCGACAAAGTTGTTGCAGTGAAGATGAACGACCCAGAATCTGGAGGATTTTTTAAACTTTTTGCAACTACGGTTAACCCGAAGGGGAGAGAACCAACATCATCTTGTATCTACAAACGGGGGTAATAACTCAGACTGGATGATAAGACTGCTGGCAATCAAACTGAAATTAACTTATTTCATGAATCAATATACCGAAATGTACTTGTCACAATTCTTGCTAGAATTTTTGTCAGTCGTTACATTTCATTGTAGTGAACTACAACAAGTTGTTGGAGTGAGCACAGAAATTGCAATTTATAACAGGTCTAGATGAAACAAAGCATTGTTAATGACAACACAATTTGTTTTCCCTAGCTATTATGCTTATTTTATAATCACTTGTTCTACTTGCCTGTCCTCAGACCAAACAGTGTAATTCCTTCCATACCCACCCGCTGCCTGTCATGTATGATATACTTCCTAGTCATCATATAAAGTGGTAAGATGGGCAAAAGAATTACTTTTTGTGTTCGGTGATGAATTAATAACAGTATGTTCTGATCCTTTCCAGCAAGAATGTTTTGTTAATGGCCGCAATTGTATTGAAGCTCAGATTCGAGAGTGTGGATTCTTTAGATTAATCATTTATAATTATTTTCGGGGTTAACAATAGACCAATTTCGATATATTCTAATTCGGACTTGGTACTAAGGATTAGGGGAATAATAATAAAAAAGAAATCATCTTAATACTCAGCAGTGAATAATACATTTCTTTTGTTTTATTCCGCCAAGCCTTGTAGCCAAGTATGAATTCTAACATATCAAAACTGGTCTACTTCAAAGTCATCCGCTGCAATTGTTTAAGCACTATGCTTCGCCATAACCTTGCATTTTGCAGTGTGTTCTTTTATTGAAACAGAATTTTAATTTGCCTTAGGTATGATCCATAACCCATAACCGTGGAAAGGTATACAAGTTCTAAGTCTAATAATTTGACAAAGAGTAAATCGATTCTGAAATTTTCGTTCTAGCTGGTCATTTTTCTTCGAGTGAATTGGTGGTAAGAAGGCAATTTTCTTGGAAAAGGTAATTGTGGGATCTCTTCATTTTACTTTTTTGGGGAAAAACCATGCATTGATGCATTTTTTGAAACGGGACAGTGCAGCAGTAGGTTACACTCCTGACTTAAACAACTGGAGACGTTCATAGGCCTAGTGTTTTAAGGTGGATCGCATTTACGCTTAAAGGGAATAAAAAATACCATCAGGCAAATATATAATATGAATAGTTTCAGAATCATTTATTTTGCCAAGCACAAAGATTTTCTCCTTCCAGTTCTTCAACTCTTCTTCCCCTTGCGACTTCGCGTCGCTGAAAAACAAGGAAAGGCGCCCTCCCTGGTCACCTCTAGGATGGAAAATCTTTGTCTAGTCTGATTCCTTGGATCTTCGATAACACTTTATCACTCAGGTAAGAGGGCCAGTTTTTACTACTCGCGTCCCCCCTATGTGGCACAGCATGTATTGAGCTATGTGGAGTCGACAGTTTGTCCTCTTTTTTCTTGGAAATTCAAAGCGGAAACAACAAAATTAAAGATTTTTGTAAGGCACAAACATTTTTACTGAAGGAACTAAGTTTACAATTGGATCTTACTTCGTCCCCTTACTTTAATGTATTCAAAAATGAATACCTTTATTGAGCAAATTCCAATTGGTTTTTCCCACTGAGTTTACTTGTCGCTACAAACGGAATACTCTGACTTGAGAAAATCATATATTTAATAGATCCATTAGAAACTGACAAATTTGTGAGAAATGTCTCCCATCGTTTTGAATTATTCCATAATAATGAGTCACAGATGGAGTACCTGGGAAACAAAGAGGTTGAGGTAAATAAACCATGCAACAGAACGCTGCTGCAATAAAGATAAAGGACCCATTATGTGGTGGAATTTTTTTAAGGATTTTTGCAACTGCGTTTACCCAAAAAGGAGAGAAACCAACGGCATCTTCTATCTGCAAACAATGTGATAACTCAGACTGGATGATAACACTGCTAGCAACTGAACTGACAATAACTAAGTGCACCAAATGTACTTGTTGATGCAGAAACTGTTAAGCACGCTTGAAGGAGTAACAATATTCTGACAATTCGTGTTACATGATAAAAATAGCTAGCGGTGAAAAACGTTTCCAATGCTGTTGTTGTTGTTGTTGTTTCTAAGAGGATTTTTGGTGTTTGGGCTTTCTTTGGTAACGTTTTAATTTCCAGCCATTTTAACTTGTGATTAATAGATACTTCCTGGTGTCATGAATTCGCTGCAAAACAGGTGATTCTTATTTAACTTGTTGTTATACGTCTTAAAATGTCTGCACTTAAAGATATTCAAGTTACTTTACGTTTTAACCTTACCTTGACCTTTTCATGTAGATTTCCAGGAAATCACTTTAATCCTTATTTTTTAACGCAGTTTCCCCGTGTTCTTAGCGAATTCATGCAGTTGATATCATTTATTTTGAAGAAAACTATCTTTAGTGATTTGGGTATTGAATTTCTCCTAATTTTCAGATGTTTTTAAGAAGCATATTTTTAGTTGTGACTCTTGCAGGTTTCCACATGTTATAATTTTAAAGTGTACTTTGGATTTTCTAGTCACGCTTGTAATCGATTTAAGGACTGACAAGCTTAGCCAATCATCTTTGATGAAGAAACTTTTGTTCTTTTATTGAAACAGAATTTTAATTTGCCTTAGGTATGATCCATAACCCATAACCGTGGAAAGGTATACAAGTTCTAAGTCTAATAATTTGACAAAGAGTAAATCGATTCTGAAATTTTCGTTCTAGTTGGCCATTTTTCTTCGAGTGAATTGGTGGTAAGAAGGCAATTTTCGTGAAAAAAGGTAATTGTGGGATCTTTTCATTTTACTTTTTTGGGGAAAAACCATGCATTCATGCATTTTTTGAAACGGGACAGTGCAGCAGTAGGTTACACTCCTGACTTAAAACAACTGGAGACGTTCAAAGGCCTAGTGTTTTAAGGTGGATCGCATTTACGCTTAAAGGGAATAAAAAATACCATCAGGCAAATACATAATATGAATAGTTTCAGAATCATTTATTTTGCCAAGCACAAGGGTTTTCTCCTTCCAGTTCTTCAACTCTTCTTCCCCTTGCGACTTCGCGTCGCTGAAAAACAAGGAAAGGCGCCCTCCCTGGTCACATCTAGGATGGAAAATCTTTGTCTAGTCTGATTCCTTGGATCTTCGATAACCGTTTATCACTCAGGTAAGAGGGCCAGTTTTTACTACTCGCGTCCCCCCTATGTGGCACAGCATGTATTGAGCTATGTGGAGTTGACAGTTTGTCCTCTTTTTTCTTGGAACTTCAAAGCGGAAACAACAAAATTAAAGATTTCAGTGAGGCACAAACATTTTTACTGAAGGAACTAAGTTTACAATTGGGTCTTACTTCGTCCCCTGACTTTAATGTATTCAAAAATGAATACCTTTATTGAGCAAATTCCAATTGGTTTTTCCCACTGAGTTTACTTGTCGCTACAAACGGAATACTCTTACTTGAGAAAATCATATATCCAATAGATCCATTAGAAACTGACAAATTTTTGAGAAATGTCTCCCATCGCTTTTAAATTATTCCATAATAATGAGTTACAGATGGAGTACCTGGGAAACAAAGAGGTTGATGTAAATAAACTATGCAACAGAACGTTGCTGCAGTAAAGATGAAGGACCCATTACGTGGTGGATTTTTTAGGATTTTTGCAACTGCGTTTACCCAAAAGGGAGAGAAACCAACAGCATCTTCTATCTGCAAACAATGTAATAACTCAGACTGGATGATAAGACTGCTGGCAACTAAACTAACAATAACTAAGTGCATCAAATGTACTTACTGATGCAGAAACTGTTAACCACGCTTGAAGGAGTAACAGTATTCTTACAATTCGTGTTACATGATAAAAATAGCTAGCGGTGAAAAACGTTTCCAATGCATTTGTTTTGGGATGAAGATATTTTTAAGAGGATTTTTTGGTGTTTGGGATTTCTTTGGTAACGCTTTAATTTCCAGCCATTTTAACGTGTGATCAATACACTTCTGGTGTCATGAATGTGCTGCAAAAGACGATTCGTATTTGACTTGTTGTTATACGTCTTAACATGTATGCACTTAAAGATATTCAAGTTACTTTACGTTTTAACCTTACCCTGACCTTTTCATGTAGATTTCCAGGAAATCACTTTAATCTTTGTTTTTTAACGCAGTTTCCCCGTGTTCTTAGGGAATTCATGCAGTTGATATCTTTTATTTTGAAAAAAGGTATCTTTAGTGATTTGGGTATTGAATTTCTCCTAATTTTCAGATGTTTTTAAGAAGAATATTTTTAGTTGTGACTCTTGCAGGTTTCCACATGTTATAATTTTAAAGTGTACTTTGGATTTTCTAGTCACGCTTGTAATCGATTTAAGGACTGACAAGCTTAGCCAATCATCTTTGATGAAGAAACTTTACACCTCTAGTATTTCGACTACATGACATGATTTGTAACAGTAAATTTAGTAGTTTTCTTGGTATCATTTTATGAATTGTGTGTGGCAGTTAATATTCATAATTAGTGACTTTTATATTGCCCGCCCTGTTTTATATCGACCGTACAACCTACGTTTCGCAAGGAAATTTAAGAGAGAAATTGTTTAGGCCAAACAAACAACTCAAAGGATTTCATGCTAATTAGCCTTTCCTTGCCAGTCAGAAATTAAACAGCCTTACGAAAGCATTAGTCCGAATCAAGTGGCTGGGTTTGCTAGGCANCCCCCCTCCCCAACTCCCCCACTTGAAAAACTGCTGCGCGGGCCCTGTTTTAACTGTTTATTGTCTATTTTAAGAAATTCTCAACTTGAATCTAACGTTTGCCGTTTGGCGTAAAATAGGTGAAATGTTCAATGCCTCCTGGTTCTAAAAAGACCTAAGTGGCTTAACCCTATCTAGCATCAGAGATATAGCCACTGATCTACAGTGTTATTTGTGGCCTTTTATGCAGTTAAACGAGGTTCGCCACTTCATTTGGCGGTGAAATCAAGTTGGTATCCGCAAAATGACATTTTTTTTTTACTATAGGCTTTAAAGGAAGAAGGGAAAAAGCATAAAAATAGAAGCAGGTAGAAGTGTTGCAGAATGCCTGCAAGACTCGGTCTCCATGTTTGATGAGTCACTCTCAAACACTCTAACTGTTTTGTTGTTCTTCATTGCCTCAATATGTGACGTTTAATATTTTCCACCGCTTTCTCCACACTGTCACCACCAATTGTGCGATAGGGAGCATGAGGTAATGCTTGACTTTTGTTTGTCACCAATGCTCCATCACGGGGAAAATGAGCAGAAAATTTCACTTCCCACTTCCTGCTGCGATACATGTCAATAAAGGACATCGACATGTCATGAGTACGGGTATCCCGACTCATCTCCACCTCTTCCCTCGTGGCCATATCTTTCAACTTCAGAAATACTTGCTTGAGCTTTTCCTCTCCACTTTCATTGGCGTACCACTGACTCGAAGACGTGTAAACATCTTGAACCTGTGGTTGTCGAGTGCGTACCGGGTACTGCTGAAAGTGTGACAATCGATGTTGTGTCCCCGAGGTTCCCGGCGAATAATTCAGAGATGGCGTGCCGTGCAGTTCCAGTTTATTGAACGGATTTTCCCCTTGAAGCGCTTCAACTCTCCCTTGCTCTTGTGACTTTCCGTCGACGAAAAGAAAAGGATAGACCGCGTCCGCAGTCACTTCAAGAATGACAAATCTTTTTGCAGGTCTGGATCCCTTGTACTTAGATAGAAGTGCTTCTCTGGTACGATGATCAGGGTTTGCTATACGCCATTCCCCGATGTGGCACAGCCTGTAATTTTTGGAAAAGAATGTTTCATCACCGTCCGAATACTTGCCACTCTTGCTCATTACAACATGAACGACTGGGTTTCCAGTGCTGGTCCACTGGCCGTACAAACTCCCACCGGTTTCTCTCAAAGGATCGGCATCTCTCTTGAGTCTCGCGAGATCTTCCTTAAAAATATAAGTAGTAGAGGCCATCTTGTGTTCTTAAGAAAGTGAAATCACTACCGTCTCTCTGTGCGAGCGTAAAGTAGGACCAGTTGTAATCTCCACTATGGAGGTACCTTGCACTTTAAATGGCCGATATTTTAAATTGTGTTTTCTGAATATATACAGCTCTTGCAAATCAAAGCAAAAAGAGTGAAGCCCAGCTATTCAGTTTGTTCTCCTGATTCCAAGAATTGTTTTTAACTGGTGTGTGTGTTTTTTTAGAATGAGTTGGGTTCATGTTCCGTATTTTCGTGGAAATGACGTGACCAGTTATCGATCATATGCAAATCAGTTGAGATACAGAAAAACATTTCCGGGAATTTAACCTTCGATCCATGAAGAGAAACGCACTGTTCACGGCAGTGAATAAATTTTATCATTATGTTTCCGAGCAGTTGCTGCTTTATAAGAAATTATATTCTTGCTTTTCATCTTCGCCGCTATTTTAGCAGCTGAGCCGAAATGACTTTAAACCTAATTTGAAGATCAACCGAAACATCACGCTTTGTTTTTAGACGGAGAATATTAGCAATAGAATAATAATGATAAGTAACCAAATACAGCAAAATTTAGATTCACACTGCGCCGGTCAAGTTCGACCGAACCGACAAATTTTTAAAAAGCTAGGCGGTCGATTAGGTGGTTCCACGTAAACAGAACACAAAAACTCACAGATTTCCTCAATTTTAGATTTGTACTTCGTAATGTTATCTGAAATTTAAACAAGGAATTAAAAAGCAAAAAAAATCATGGATATTAAACAAAATGATATAAGGCTCTCTTTGGAGAGGAAGGCCTAAACTTCTCCAGCATTCCTTTAGCAGTTTAAGTTCACACAGCCTACGAGATGACATAAAACTGTTGGAAATCGCCAGGTCTCCAAAACCATTGGGGACGTTCGACGCAAGGTTGACAAATGTCATTCTTTACTGCCGCTCGTTTCAGAAGACGTTCGTAGGGCAGGAACGCTAAGCGAACCCCTAAGAACGTCTGCGTGGAAGGTAACAACAGGTCTGTATTTTACCTCTGCTTACCTCTGTACTTACTTGTGACATTATTGTTACGAAACATTGCGTGACATTCGAAAGACTGATTGAAAGTGTGCTATGTACGCACGCGACAGACGTTTTACTGTCGAAATTCCGGCAAGCGAGTTGAAAAAGATTTTCAGTTGGGTACTTAAGAGCCCATCCGAGGAAACGGGGGGAGATCTATTTGGAGTATGGAGTGATGGACAGGATGACTTAGAAAACAAGCTGTGTATATACCATGTTTCCGGACCCGGGAAATTGTGTCGACGAACGCCATTTTCATTTGATCAGGATGTTCGATATTCGAAGAAAATTGCAACATATCTAAGTCGACAATACGGTTTGGACCATGTGGCCGTTTGGCATTCTCATCAGTCGGCTTTGGATCGACCAAGCGCTCCGGATGAAGAGGCGATCTGGAACACGATGCGTTCTCTTGCGATCAACCGAATTGCCCTCTTCATTGCTAGCAGTGTAGGCAAACGGAAGGACGACGATAGTTCCTCCTTTGTCATAAACACTTTCTTATTTGAGACCCACGAGAAAAGCAATAAATGTTGGCCAGTTCTACAGGGAACTTTTCGCATTTTACCCGAGCCTAGCAAGAAAATTTGTTTCCACAGTGACGAAGAAAAAGCTTCACTTGAAGGATTGGCCGAAAATTTGGTCACTGACAAGGACATTAATATGATTGATATCACTGTGTCAGAAACTAGTGTTATAGGATCTTTAGAAAGACAATTATAATCACAACTAAGTTGTAAGTACGCTTACGGGCCACTGTCTTCTTCACCTTGAGCCGCCGGCATGTTGAGTGGTGAACTGGATGTCACGTGTTCAAACTCCAGTTTCGGAATATTAAAGTGGAGAGGATCTTTGGATCTGAAGTAAAAACCTTGGATCTAGAGTAAGAACATTGGATCCGGAATAATAACTTTGGATCCAGAGTAAAAACCTTGGATACGATGTAATAACTTATATAAGATCCGCTGAAACTCTGGATCCAAAGTTATTACTCCGGATCCAGAGTAATAACTTTGGATCCAGAGTAATAACTTTGGATCCGGATTAAAAACTTTGGATCGGGAGTAATAACTTAACTGTGGATCCAGAGTAAAAACTCTGGATCCAGAGTAATAAAACAGCATTGCCGAATAGTGAAATATGTGTTGGCTGGATAAAAAGTTTGGATCCAAAACAAAATCTTCATTTTAATGCACTTTTTTTTTTACTTTGCTTAGAATGTCACTTACGGGCCACTACAATTATCATGTCGTTATTAATAGTTTTTGTAACGCTATACTTGCTAGATCAGAACTCAATCGAGGGTTTGTCAAGATCAGCATAGACAGTTACACTTGTTTATATCATACATGTAATTAAACTGAGTCTCACAGAGTGAGAGAAACAGAATAAGATTTACACAAGATGAGGCTAAGTTACTCTACGACTCTTTCACTTTCAATCCTAATGTCGTTTATCGAAACTACTATTGTTTAGCACTCTCTAGAACTGCTAGGGAGCCCTTTAGTCAAATCCTATTACCCTTGGATAGTCAGCACTTTTAAATTAACACTCGATATTGTCCGAGATTTAAACAAGAAAAAAACGAAACAAATGATATTAAACAAAATATTTCCTACCGTAAACTGCTTCCGTATTCCTTTAGCAGTTTTAACTGATCAAGCGGCCAACGAGATACGAAATAATTTGGAAATCGCGAGAGTTTTTACTACGCGCAGGGTGAGGTTACGCGCAAGACTGCTCACGTGACTAAACCTTCCCCTTTCGCGATTCTCAAATGGAGAGATTGTTCGCAGGCTAAAAGCAAGCACAGTAACAGAGAGCTTTGGCAACGACAATGTGCAGAATCGAGTGTGATCACGGATCGGGGAAAACGTGTGCCAATAAGCTTGCGTATTGTAACAAATGCTTTGAAAAAAAAGAGAAATTCGTCAATTCAATTTAAATATTTTTTTATGCTAAAAGTTACAGCTTCCTGCAACAGGCTTTTCGCGTGCTCGCTCTCAATGCACCTCTTTGCTAAATCAACTATTTCAAACTACTATCTAAACTGAGTAGATCTCGTACTTATTCTCGTCGTCAATTTCAATAAAGCTCTGCAATGAGAACTTATTTTATAAGGATATATCAGTTACACCACAATATTTCGCGTTCAGTTGTCAGTTATCAATTTGCAAATGAACCCAGCGCCTAAAATAAAAAGGCTATCTTGCAAGTTCATTCCTCCATTGCGTAGTGGAGAAAGGCTATTCCAGACGGGCTGAAAAAATTAAACCAAGCACGTTAAATAAGATATGGAGCTGGTAAATAATGCGAGGAGCGCTCTTGGTCCTCTAAGAAAACTAGAACTACCTCGAAAATTAAAACAGACAAGAATTGAACGGAAACTGTCTGAACATGATTCGTAGTTCACTAGTTTTACTCTTATACCTTTTATAGTGACCATAAATATAAGTTTTACAGTTAATTTACTGAAAGCCTTGCATTTGTTTAACGTGAAGCTTTCGCTACACGAAGCATTTTTATGTCTCTAAGGTTAACACATCTTTAAGACAATTGCTTTACTCTTTCTCTACACAAAGTTGGCGCTTTGAGTCCCATCCTTTATAACATCAAAAAATCGCAATTCTGACACAGCACATGAGCCGATGCTGTGGCCCTAGCCTGTCCCGGGCCTTCATATTGCGTAGAGTGGCGGGTGGCGGAGAGATAAACTACAGCGTCCGCACTACCTGAATGCCTGAACTAGGACATAATAGCCTTAGCTCCTCGGGGACGAACGTCCTGAACTGACCATCAAGCGTAGTCAAAACAACGACCTGGTACGAGGCACGCCTACTCTCTTTCTCATTTTTGCCACTTTTCTTCCGTCTTTCCCCCGTCGTTTATCTGCTAATATCCACGGTACACACTACATAAAATTTAAAGAAACCTAAGCCTTTGCGTCAAATCTGTTGCGTTGACAAAGTGTGCAGGAGATGTGATGATTCTGAATAATGTCAATTATGTCCAATCGCTTATTAGGCTTCTCGCGAAGCATCTTCTCGAATTCCTTCAACTCAAGATCAGGATGCGAAGCTTTAATGTTATCTAAAACTCGTTCAGAGGGATTTGAACTGGCTTCGTAATCCTTCATTTTATGATCTACACGAAAATATCTGGCAGCCTCTTTATAGTCAAAACCTTTGTTCAGCTCTTTACAAATGTAATCCTTTAGGCACGTTCGCTCTCTTTCTATCAGCTTGAAGAATGAATAATCCGGCTGAGGGCAACACTCTGTGACAAAAAAGGACAAAAACAAGTAATTAAAATCAAATCAGTGCACAAATAAGAAATATCACAAAATTAAAAGGGCTCTCGCAAAAGGAGCGCGCAATCCTAATCTCCAGGTTGCTGGGGTCCGGGAAATCTTCCGACCCGCTTATATCATTACTCGGAAAGCAATCAGATCATCTGAGAGTTATTTCCCCAATATTTCTCGGTTCCAGGCAGGGGTCGTTATGAACGCGCGACATAGTAAAACTTGTCAAACTAATCAGTCATTTAGAAAGGTCTTTAAATAATTTTTTATCCCCCCAAAAAATATGGTCAATATATAACAATGTATGTTTTTTATTAAATTTTCTATCGTAGTTTGCTTCTGCAATTACTGAAATAGAAACACTTATCGGTCAGTAAAACAGCCAAGTGTCAAACTCTCTAAATAGCATTTAGCTCACTTAAGTCATTTTTAGTTCAAGATAAGTCGGCATAAAATCACCTGAACAGCGGTGTTGGGCGTCCTCGCTACCTCGTTGAATGGGGCGATATATACAATCGTTTTCCTCCTCCTTGAAGGTCCTTTTTTCTTTATCGTTGACATCGGTTGCTGTTGTATAATATCCTAGACCTCCATCCCTAGCGTGGATCAGGGTTACGTCTTCCTCCGCGCAGCCACTGTGTTTTGTAGACCTATATTCTCGATTACGAGCACAAGCCACGCCCTTCTTTGGACTAGAACTGTTTTTTCTCACCACAGGCCGTCCCTCCTTCCCTTTTCCCGCTGTTGGCAATATCCCCCCCCTCCCCAACTCCCCCACTTGAAAAACTGCTGCGCGGGCCCTGTTTTAACTGTTTATTGTCTATTTTAAGAAATTCTCAACTTGAATCTAACGTTTGCCGTTTGGTGTAAAACAGGTGAAATGTTCAATGCCTCCTGGTTCTAAAAAGATCTAAGTGGCTTAATCCTATCTAGCATCAGAGATATAGCCACTTAGAAAGATCTACAGTGTTATTTGTGGCCTTTTATGCAGTTAAACGAGGTTCGCCACTTCATTTGGCGGTGAAATCAAGTTGGTATCCGCAAAATGACATTTTTTTTACTATAGGCTTTAAAGGAAGAAGGGGAAAAGCATAAAAATAGAACCGGGTAGAAGTGTTGCAGAATTCCTGCAAGACTCGGTCTCCATGTTTGATGAGTCACTGCCAAACACTTTAACTGTTTTATTGTTCTTCATTGCCTGAATATGTAACGTTTAATATCATCCACCTCTTTCTCCACACTTTCACCACCACTTGTGCGATAGGGACCATGAGGTAATGCTTGACTTTTGTTTGTCACCAATGCTCCATCACGGGGAAAATAAGCAGAAAATTTCACTTCCCACTTCCTGTTGCGATACTTGTCAATAAAGGACATCGACATGTCGTGAGTACGGGTATCCCGACTCATCTCCACCTCTTCCCTCGTGGCCATATCTTTCAACTTCAGAAATACTTGCTTGAGCTTTTCCTCTCCACTTTCTTTGGCGTACCACTGACTCGAAGACGTGTAAACATCTTGAACCTGTGGTTGTCGAGTGCGTACCGGGTACTGCTGAAAGTGTGACACAGGTGGCTGATTTGATCGGACATCAACTAGATTCCCTCGCATCTCCCGTCCAGTCGCGGGCAATCGATGTTGTGTCCCCGAGGTTCCCGGCGAATAATTCAGAGATGGCGTGCCGAGCAGTTCCAGTTTATTGAACGGATTTTCCCCTTGAAGCGCTTCAACTCTCCCTTGCTCTTGTGACTTTCCGTCGACGAAAAGAAAAGGATAGACCGCGTCCGCATTCACTTCAAGAATGACAAATCTTTTTACAGGTCTGGATCCCTTGTACTTAGATAGAAGAGCTTCTCTGGTACGATGATCAGGGTTTGCTATACGCCATTCCCCGATGTGGCACAGCCTGTAATTTTTGAAAAAGAATGTTTCAACACCGTCCGAATACTTGCCACTCTTGCTCATTGCAACATGAACGACTGGGTTTCCAGTGCTGGTCCACTGGCCGTACAAACTCCCACCGGTATCTCTCAAAGGATTGGCATCTCTCTTGAGTCTCGCGAGATCTTCCTTAAAAATATAAGTAGTAGAGGCCATCTTGTGTTCTTAAGAAAGTGAAATCACTACCGTCTCTCTGTGCGAGCGTAAAGTAGGACCAGTTGTAATCTCCACTATGGAGGCACCTTGTACTTTAAATGGCCGATATTTTAAATTGTGTTTTCTGAATATATACAGCTCTTGCAAATAAAAGCAAAAAAAGTGAAGCCCGGCTATTCAGTTTGTTCTCCTGATTCCAAGAATTGTTTTTAACTGGTGTGTGTGTGTTTTTTAGAATGAGTTGGGTTCATGTTCCGTATTTTCGTGGAAATGACGTGACCAGTTATCGATCATATGCAAATCAGTTGAGATACAGAAAAACATTTCCGGGAATTTAACCTTCGATCCATGAAGAGAAAAAGCTCTGTTCACGGCAGTGAATAAATTTTATCACTATATGTTTCCGAGCAGTTGCTGCTTCATAAGAAATTATATTCTTGCTTTTCATCTTCGCCGCTATTTTAGCAGCTGAGCCGAAATGACTTTTAACCTAATTTGAAGATCAACCGAAACATCACGCTTTGTTTTTAGACGGAGAATATTAGCAATAGAATAATAATGATAAGTAACCAAATACAGCGAAATTTAGTTTCACATTGCGCCGTCAAGTTCGACCGAACCGACAAATTTTTAAAAAGCTAGGCGGTCGATTAGGTGGTTCCACGTAAACAGAACACAAAAACTCACAGATTTCCTCAATTTTAGATTTGTACTTCGTAATGTTATCTGAAATTTAAACAAGGAATTAAAAAGCAAAAAAAATCATGGATATTAAACAAAATGATATAAGGCTCTCTTTGGAGAGGAAGGCCTAAACTTCTCCAGCATTCCTTTAGCAGTTTTAGCTCACACAGCCTACGAGATGGCATAAAACTGTTGGAAATCGCCAGGTCTCCAAAACACAGTGGGAACGTTCGACGCAAGGTTGACATATGTCATTCTTTACTGCCGCTCGTTTCAGAAGACGTTCGTAAGGCAGGAACGCTCGGCGAACCCCTAAGAACGTCTGCGTGGAAGGCAACAATAGGTCTGTATTTTACCTCTGCTTACCTCTGTACTTACGCGTGACATTATTGTTACGAAACATTGCGTGACATTCGAAAGACTGACTGAAAGTGTGCTATGTACTCACGCGACAGACGTTTTACTGTCGAAATTCCGGCAAGCGAGTTAAAAAAGATTTTCAGTTGGGTACTCAAGAGCCCATCCGAGGAAACGGGGGGAGATTTATTTGGAGTATGGAGTGATGGACAGGATGACTTAGAAAACAAGCTGTGTATATACCATGTTTCCGGACCCGGGAAATTGTGTCGACGAACGCCATTTTCATTTGATCAGGATGTTCGATATTCGAAGAAAATTGCAACATATCTAAGTCGACAATACGGTTTGGACCATGTGGCCGTTTGGCATTCTCATCAGTCGGCTTTGGATCGACCAAGCGCTCCGGATGAAGAGGCGATCTGGAACACGATGCGTTCTCTTGCGATCAACCGAATTGCCCTCTTCATTGCTAGCAGTGTAGGCAAACGGAAGGACGACGATAGTTCCTCCTTTGTCATAAACACTTTCTTATTTGAGACCCACGAGAAAAGCAATAAATGTTGGCCAGTTCTACAGGGAACTTTTCGCATTTTACCCGAGCCTAGCAAGAAAATTTGTTTCCACAGTGACGAAGAAAAAGCTTCACTTGAAGGATTGGCCGAAAATTTGGTCACTGACAAGGACATTAATATGATTGATATCACTGTGTCAGAAACTAGTGTTATAGGATCTTTAGAAAGACAATTATAATCACAACTAAGTTGTAAGTACGCTTACGGGCCACTGTCTTCTTCACCTTGAGCCGCCGGCATGTTGAGTGGTGAACTGGATGTCACGTGTTCAAACTCCAGTTTCGGAATATTAAAGTGGAGAGGATCTTTGGATCTGAAGTAAAAACCTTGGATCTAGAGTAAGAACATTGGATCCGGAATAATAACTTTGGATCCAGAGTAAAAACCTTGGATACGATGTAATAACTTATATAAGATCCGCTGAAACTCTGGATCCAAAGTTATTACTCCGGATCCAGAGTAATAACTTTGGATCCAGAGTAATAACTTTGGATCCGGATTAAAAACTTTGGATCGGGAGTAATAACTTAACTGTGGATCCAGAGTAAAAACTCTGGATCCAGAGTAATAAAACAGCATTGCCGAATAGTGAAATATGTGTTGGCTGGATAAAAAGTTTGGATCCAAAACAAAATCTTCATTTTAATGCACTTTTTTTTTTACTTTGCTTAGAATGTCACTTACGGGCCACTACAATTATCATGTCGTTATTAATAGTTTTTGTAACGCTATACTTGCTAGATCAGAACTCAATCGAGGGTTTGTCAAGATCAGCATAGACAGTTACACTTGTTTATATCATACATGTAATTAAACTGAGTCTCACAGAGTGAGAGAAACAGAATAAGATTTACACAAGATGAGGCTAAGTTACTCTACGACTCTTTCACTTTCAATCCTAATGTCGTTTATCGAAACTACTATTGTTTAGCACTCTCTAGAACTGCTAGGGAGCCCTTTAGTCAAATCCTATTACCCTTGGATAGTCAGCACTTTTAAATTAACACTCGATATTGTCCGAGATTTAAACAAGAAAAAAACGAAACAAATGATATTAAACAAAATATTTCCTACCGTAAACTGCTTCCGTATTCCTTTAGCAGTTTTAACTGATCAAGCGGCCAACGAGATACGAAATAATTTGGAAATCGCGAGAGTTTTTACTACGCGCAGGGTGAGGTTACGCGCAAGACTGCTCACGTGACTAAACCTTCCCCTTTCGCGATTCTCAAATGGAGAGATTGTTCGCAGGCTAAAAGCAAGCACAGTAACAGAGAGCTTTGGCAACGACAATGTGCAGAATCGAGTGTGATCACGGATCGGGGAAAACGTGTGCCAATAAGCTTGCGTATTGTAACAAATGCTTTGAAAAAAAAGAGAAATTCGTCAATTCAATTTAAATATTTTTTTATGCTAAAAGTTACAGCTTCCTGCAACAGGCTTTTCGCGTGCTCGCTCTCAATGCACCTCTTTGCTAAATCAACTATTTCAAACTACTATCTAAACTGAGTAGATCTCGTACTTATTCTCGTCGTCAATTTCAATAAAGCTCTGCAATGAGAACTTATTTTATAAGGATATATCAGTTACACCACAATATTTCGCGTTCAGTTGTCAGTTATCAATTTGCAAATGAACCCAGCGCCTAAAATAAAAAGGCTATCTTGCAAGTTCATTCCTCCATTGCGTAGTGGAGAAAGGCTATTCCAGACGGGCTGAAAAAATTAAACCAAGCACGTTAAATAAGATATGGAGCTGGTAAATAATGCGAGGAGCGCTCTTGGTCCTCTAAGAAAACTAGAACTACCTCGAAAATTAAAACAGACAAGAATTGAACGGAAACTGTCTGAACATGATTCGTAGTTCACTAGTTTTACTCTTATACCTTTTATAGTGACCATAAATATAAGTTTTACAGTTAATTTACTGAAAGCCTTGCATTTGTTTAACGTGAAGCTTTCGCTACACGAAGCATTTTTATGTCTCTAAGGTTAACACATCTTTAAGACAATTGCTTTACTCTTTCTCTACACAAAGTTGGCGCTTTGAGTCCCATCCTTTATAACATCAAAAAATCGCAATTCTGACACAGCACATGAGCCGATGCTGTGGCCCTAGCCTGTCCCGGGCCTTCATATTGCGTAGAGTGGCGGGTGGCGGAGAGATAAACTACAGCGTCCGCACTACCTGAATGCCTGAACTAGGACATAATAGCCTTAGCTCCTCGGGGACGAACGTCCTGAACTGACCATCAAGCGTAGTCAAAACAACGACCTGGTACGAGGCACGCCTACTCTCTTTCTCATTTTTGCCACTTTTCTTCCGTCTTTCCCCCGTCGTTTATCTGCTAATATCCACGGTACACACTACATAAAATTTAAAGAAACCTAAGCCTTTGCGTCAAATCTGTTGCGTTGACAAAGTGTGCAGGAGATGTGATGATTCTGAATAATGTCAATTATGTCCAATCGCTTATTAGGCTTCTCGCGAAGCATCTTCTCGAATTCCTTCAACTCAAGATCAGGATGCGAAGCTTTGATGTTATCTAAAACTCGTTCAGAGGGATTTGAACTGGCTTCGTAATCCTTCATTTTATGATCTACACGAAAATATCTGGCAGCCTCTTTATAGTCAGAACCTTTGTTCAGCTCTTTACAAATGTAATCCTTTAGGCACGTTCGCTCTCTTTCTATCAGCTTGAAGAATGAATAATCCGGCTGAGGGCAACACTCTGTGACAAAAAAGGACAAAAACAAGTAATTAAAATCAAATCAGTGCACAAATAAGAAATATCACAAAATTAAAAGGGCTCTCGCAAAAGGAGCGCGCAATCCTAATCTCCAGGTTGCTGGGGTCCGGGAAATCTTCCGACCCGCTTATATCATTACTCGGAAAGCAATCAGATCATCTGAGAGTTATTTCCCCAATATTTCTCGGTTCCAGGCAGGGGTCGTTATGAACGCGCGACATAGTAAAACTTGTCAAACTAATCAGTCATTTAGAAAGGTCTTTAAATAATTTTTTATCCCCCCAAAAAATATGGTCAATATATAACAATGTATGTTTTTTATTAAATTTTCTATCGTAGTTTGCTTCTGCAATTACTGAAATAGAAACACTTATCGGTCATTAAAACAGCCAAGTCTCAAACTCTCTAAATAGAATTTAGCTTACTTAAGTCATTTTTAGTTCAAGATAAGTCGGCATAAAATCACCTGAACAGCGGTGTTGGGCGTCCTCGCTACCTCGTTGAATGGGGCGATATATACAGTCGTTTTCCTCCTCCTTGAAGGTCCTTTTTTCTTTATCGTTGACATCGGTTGCTGTTGTATAATATCCTAGACCTCCATCCCTAGCGTGGATCAGGGTTACGTCTTCCTCCGCGCAGCCACTGTGTTTTGTAGACCTATATTCTCGATTACGAGCACAAGCCACGCCCTTCTTTGGACTAGAACTGTTTTTTCTCACCACAGGCCGTCCCTCCTTCCCTTTTCCCGCTGTTGGCAATACATTCTCCCTTTCCGCCTTATTGGAGTTTCCATTGACCTCTTTGTCGTATACTTCTACGCTGACTGGTGTCAGCGGTTCCTGGCTCTGCGCATATTCACTACTCTGATTACATATTTCTTGTTCCTCCGGAAAACTAGAATGGCTTGGAAGGGTTGGAAGGGATGGTGGAGTGGGCGTCCGTTCGCGGGAGGAAGCTGGGGACAAACAGGTCGAGGGCGCTACGCAGCGATGTGTTGGTGATCGCCCCTGGAGGGGTGTTGCACTCATGCAGGATAAGCCGGGATCAGGCGACCGTTCACGACTTGGAGGTAAGGTCGCGCTGTTTGAAAAAGACGACAGGCGATCAGTTGAACTTCCAGAAAGTTGCGAGGGAGTCACACAGTTTGAAGACGAAGAGCATGTGCCGCAATAAAAATGAGATGATTGAGGACAGGAAGAACGAGACGACGTGGAAGAACTTGGAGAAATTCTGCCAGCTGAAATCTGCCTTTCTTGGTCTGGTTCCTTAGAGTAATAGAACGATTCATCTGAGATTGTTTCTGTAGAAGATGAGATCGGCACCAGTTTTTCACTGGACGTCTCTGAAAGATAGAAACCATAAATGAGTAAAGTTCATTCACTTTCATGTCGTTTATACCTAATCCAAATGGGAAATATATGAAATTAGGGAAAGTTCATTTAATATCACAAGGGGGGAGGATGAAGATATTGAAACTCGAAGCTTGAAATTTTAGCAGCCCCCCTCGCTAGCGGTTCAATTTTTTAGGACCCCCCTCCTTGGTAGTCGAAAAAATTTCAGAGCCAACCCCCCCCACCCCCCCCCCCCCTCCCCCCCCTTACCCTCCCCCTCCATCCCCTACACCATCCAACGCAAAAATCACATTTTCTTTCCTTTTACTCTAGTCTTTTATCGATATCTTTTGTACTATTTAGCCATCACGAGTGATGCTTATTTTCTCATTCTGTCACTTTTCA